AGCTATGAAATTAAAAGTGTTTTTATTTTAAACTCCTAGATCAAAATTTTCATAACAGCATTTTGTTAAAAGTTTTGAATAGTGCTACAAGAAAGAGAGTTCTAACAAATAATTTTAACATTTAAGACGCTAAACATTTTAATATTTGGGACGATAAAACCAACACTAAGAGTTTTTGTAATTTTCAACTGTGATTCCTTAATTTTATTCGCGTTAGAAACATGTTTATCTAGCCAATTAAAATCACTTACTCTTGATAAATTCGTTGTTATGTTCTACGACCAACTTGGGCGTCTTAGCGAAGCGAATGGATACCACTTATCGTCTCAATTGTGAGAAAACAATGTGTCATTTATCTCCGCGAAGAGAGGAAAAAACTAACGGATGCGAAACCGACATTTTGCACTGTCGTATCGACGTGATTCGCGTGCGAAAGTTAATTAAAGTTAGCGATGATCGAGAACATGATAGATTCCAATTGTCACTATTATAGATTCGCACCCGCAAATTCGTGAAACACTATCGACACAAATGGAATTTTGGCGAAACAGACGCATTTTTTCGTGAAATATTATTCAGATATGGATTTTATCAAGAGAGAGGTGTGATTCGACACGATGTAGAATCTCGAAATTTTTTACGTCGATATAGCTAACATACGTTTTTGTATAAACGAGCTATAGCTTTGAGAAGATATTTTTCACTTTTCTAAAGCTACCACGGAAGATGTATGTAACGCAGATACATATGCGAGAGCAGCTTCCTCTTTTTTCCGTCCAGCTGCGACCATACAAAACTTTTGTGTGATGGCTGTTTTTCGGATTACGGTCACCTTCAACTGAAAGAAACTCTGAACGAATAACTATACCAAAACAGTCCAAGTTTTCAAACAAGTACATTTCAAATTTATAACGTTACAATTTGCAATATGTTATCGTATAGTATTATAATTAAAACAATTAAACGAGCGAAAAAATATGTATATTCTTCTCTTGAAAAGGACTTTTACAGAAAAATATAAAAACCCCAATTCTGTCACTTTATGTCGTCAATATAGCGTTTATTTTTGTGTAAACGAACTGTTGGAGCTTTTAAGATATTTGTCGCTTTTCCAAAAGTATTGCGGAAGGTTCTAAAAAGCGATATTAAAAACTATGTGCTGTATTAAAATAATGTATTGTATACAAAATTATTTTTAGCTAATAATATGCTGCAACATGTATTCAAAATCGTGCAATAAATATTGTAGCAATTCATCGAACACAATTAACTTATTGATTTTATGCCACATGCTAAGATCAATTTTATCAAGTTAGAGGAGAGTCTTTCGTAATGTCATTGAACCTCACGGCTGTTATTTAGAATGATAAATAGGATGATAAATAGAAATGAACTAACAGCGTTATTATATTCATCAAATTTTCCATTATTTCGCAACTCTCAGTGAATATATGCTGTTTTGTTGGCAGCCATCTGCAGTCATCATCAACAACAGACTTTCCTTGTGCGTAGTTAAATTTCAACACGTGACGATACCGATCGCTTTTAAACCAGCGCGAATGCGACTATCATTATTGAATGATATCTAATTGCGTACAATAAAATTTTGCTGGAAATACACGTCTATACACACATATGTGAAGCCATTATTATGATTTTACGTGCAACATTTCTTACTTAAACAAATTAAATAGCTTCAAATTAAGTAAGATTACTTTTAAGTTAAATTTTGTAATCAGCCAGAAACTATTTCCTGTTTATGTGATAAATTAATGCCGCGATTAACTTATCTTTCCATTTCCCGACATTTTCTGTTATTCTATCTTGCCAGCATTAAAAGTACGAGCATACGATTATATAACAATGTCACTTAAATGTACCCTCCGGATCTGTATTTAATTAACGTGTTAAGCGATGTGTTTACAAAAAAAAAAAAAAAAAAAAAAA